ATGCCATGATTTTTCAAATTAGCAATGGACCTCGCATTGTGTAAATCTGTTCTTTGTAAAAATGGACATACACAGTCCACTTGATTAAAAGGTAATCTCATAGGGCTTGGGTTGTAGCTCAGTGGCAGAGCGCTTACCCAGCATGTATGAGGCACTGAATTCAATTCTCAGCACTGTGTATCAATAAATGAAATAAAGGTCCATTGACAATTAAAAAATATTTAAAAATAATAAAGGTCCATCAATAACTAAAAAAATATTTTTAAAAAGGTAATCTCATATATCAGATGATGCATGCCTGCTTGGTTGGCATAGAATATATCATTGATTGGACTGGAGCAAGAAGAGTTTACTGGTCTATGATGAATTAAAAACTTGCTCCTGACTTAAAAATATTCTCTTCTGGTGCTCAAGGAAAGAGTCTGTATTTATTTGCATGGTAAAAATCAATTAGAGGGGCTGGGGATGTGGCTCAAGCGGTAGCACGCTTGCCTGCACGCGTGCGGCCCGGGTTCGATCCTCAGCACCACATACAAACAAAGATGTTGTGTCCGCCAAAAACTAAAAAGTAAATATTAAAATTCTCTCTCTCTTTCTTTAAAAAAAATCAATTAGTCATTTAATTTTAAACAGGAATGAATTCTGCTTTCAGAGTGAATGAATACAAGGGCAGCTCATTCAAAATAATACATAATATTTTTAAAAACAGCATATGTGGTTGAGTAGCTGATATTTGAATAGAATGTATCTTCTCTGAGAAGTCAGATATTTGAAATAAAAACAAAAACGTTTTGCTGGGAAGACCATATCCCCAAATCAAACCCCGAATACTGGGCCAACATCTCCTGACCTAGGTTCCTTGACCCTCAGTACTAAGTACTACTTTGAAAAAGACCCTTTGTTGAGACAGTATGTCTTTCATAAGCACACCCACCAAAGAGAATTAATACTGTGTCTCTGTTGGAAAGGTGCTATAGTTTGGGTCTGGAATGTCCATCAAAGGCCCACTTGTTAAAGGTTTGGTCTCCTGCTCATAGCACTAATGGGAGGTGGTGGAAACTTTAAAAACTGAAGCCTGGTGGGAGGTCTTTCCTGTCACTGGGAGGAATCCTCAAAGGGAATTATGGGACCCCCTTTCTTCCTCTTTCCCTTCACTTCCCAGCTGCCATGAGATGAGCAGCTTCCTTTACCACATACTCCTGCTATGATGTACTGTTTCACCACAGACACAGAAACAATGGAGCCAATCAACCCTGGACTGAAGCCTCCAAAACTGTGATCCAAAATAAACCTTTCCTCTTTTAAAGCTGATTTTGTAATAGTAACACAAAGCTGACTAACACAGAAGGCTTCCCTTTGCCTTTCTGGCTGGGTTATAGGATACTTTCTGAGTATGAGTTAAGACTACTTATAATTAAGCAAGCTGGGTGAAGCAGTTCATTCCTGTAATCCTAGAGCTCAGGAAGCTGAGGCAAGGAGGATCACAAGTTTGAGGCCAACCTAGGCAATTTAGTGAGACCCTGCCTCAAAATGAAAAAATATATATATAAAAAGGGCTAGTGGTCTAACTCAGTGGTAATGTCTCTGGGTTTAATTCCTAGTACTGGGGAGGAGGGAGAGGAGGGGGAGGAGGGGGAGGAGGGGGAGGAGAAGAAGAAGAAGAATCAAACTGGGAGCAATTGCACATGCCTGTAATCCCAGTTACTTGGGAGTCTAAGGCAGGAGGATTGAAAGTTCCAGGCCAGCCTCAGCAACTTAGTGAGGCCCTCAGCAACTTAGTGAGACCCTGTCTCAAAAAATAAAAAGGGTTGGGGACATAGCTCAGGAGTAAAGTGCCTCTGGGTTCAATCCCCAGTAGAAGAAGAATGAGAAGAAGGAGAAAGAGAAGAAGAATCAACAAAAGTAGTTGAAAAAGTAGAGTGATGAGATTGCAAAACAACAGCTTGTACTCTCATAATTCACCAATCAAACTGAATAAGTGGGCAAAGATAATCCATTATAGCATTTAAGACATACAAAGATTGCTTGCTTTAAATTTTCAGAAGCCATTGTGGCTGACAGCCTACAAGACGGCCCCCAATGTTTCTACTTCCTGCTATTCACCTCCTTATGCAGTATCCTCCCACAGTGGATAAGGAGCAAATTCAAATATTCCCTGGAGCCAGGTGGGCAGCATAAATGTGTAAATCAGGTTGGGGGACAAGGAAAAGCTATGGGGAATGATGTGACCATGAAAAAGTAGAGAAGTTCATGCCCTCTCTAAAAGAAACTTTAAAATATTGCTGAGAGCAAAGCAAACTAAGTCTGCCTATTGAATTTAATCCACCAAATACAAAAATGTAATCTGGCACCATAAGCAATGAAAAACTAATGGTATAGAAGGAGGTTCAGTCCTCATCATATCCTTCGTAAATGCTAGAAGGTTCTGTGAATGGGTCTATCTCACACATCCATTCATTCATATGTCCATTTATCTAAACATTATGGAGTACCCACTATAAGCTACATATTATGCTGCATACTGATCCAGCTGTCCCAAATTTTGTACCTTAAATCCTTCTATTTTGTGCCTTTCCAAGTTTGGGTAATTTGTATCAATACTGTATTTGCAGGTAATGCAGATCCTCTAGTTTAAGAAATGAGTTCCAGTCCCAAATCCACAAATAAAGAATTATTATAATAATAGCATATTCATGAAAAGCAAATTACTTATCTTGGCGTTTAACATCCTTGTACTATTTCCGTACTTTTAATGTCAACAGGAAAAAAGTAATGTCTAAGTCTGGCTGATACAGTAAATTAATGTTAATAACAGTTTTGACACTAATAGCAAGTTTGAAAAAGAAAAACCTCCAGTCTCTAAGCTGGGTTTCATTTCTTAAAAATCACCTCAGCTCACTGTCACCAGACTCCCTAAGAACAATTCCAGCTACTATTTTGCCTTCACTGGGTGCTTGAAAGGACTAGGGCCATAAAGTTGCTTCAAAATTATATCCTTTTCCTGCGTTTGTTCACCCCAAATGGAGAAAACATCCACCCCTTGTATTACAATATGAGGGCCTCTCAGCAGACACACATTTCTGAATCCCTGTAAGCAAATGAATACCTATATGGTTTCATTAAAAAAAAAAAAAAAAACACTAGCTATTCCTTCAGAGCCTGAAAGTTAATTGTGAAAACATGAACCACTAAGTTATGCATGAGATCAAGTGAGAAATTTCCGACTTCATGTTCTAAAGATCAGAGAACAGAGTCTTTCTTTGTCTATCTTTGTGTTCTTCCATAGTGCCATGCACAGACTAGAACATTAATAAATGTCATGGATTAAATTGTTGGAACTGAAATTTTTAACAGGCCTGAGGAAAATGAAAGGGAACCCAGTACCTGGCTCTTCCACTCTTGCCAGCTCTTTCTAGAAGTTACTAAGAGCTCAAATAGCCCTTGCAAAATTTCTACCTCTCCTTTTCAAACTCAGACAAATAGATAGGACAAAGTTGGCCTATAATATCCACCGCTATAATCACTTTGAGGCCACTTGGCTTTAAGTAAGCCATCTCTTCCCAAACATTGTTCTTTTTCTATTATTGAGTGTTTTACTTTTAGATAAACCTATAATGAATGAGCTCAAACGAGCAGAGGCATCAGTGAAAACCCAACAATAAAATAATTAAGTCAATGTGGATTTCATTAGAGACTTTTCATATCATAATAGAAAATGTAGGCTACTTAAAATCAGAAAAAGCAAGAGGAATCATGTATTTTTGTTTTACAAGGAAAGTCAGCATTAAAAGTATTTGTTTCATAGACTCCTCCTTAGCTCTACTGACAATAACAGTTATTTCCTCAGGAAGGGCAAGAATGGTAGAAATACCAATGGAGATCTAGGTGGCTTTCAGAATATTCTTTTTTCCCCCTTTCCATAGTTATCATTCAAAATTGTCTATAGAATTTAGGCAAGAAGATGATTTATATTTTTTCTCAGTTCATGGCCTCAGTCCCTAAGATTTTGTGATTTGCCCTAACCCTTGTACGCCATGAAAAAAATAGGAATTGTGGTACATATACACAATGGAATATTAATCAGCATTAAAAGAGAATAAAACTATGGCATTTGCAGGTAAATGGATGGAATTAGAAAATATCATTGCTGGCAGCTGGAAGTTTGCTGGGGGCCAGCATATCATGCTAAGTGAAGTAAGCCAATCCCAAAAATCAAAAGGCCAGCTGTTGTCTCTCATAAATGGATGCTGATCCATAATGAGGGTGGGCATGGAGAGAATGGAGAAACTTTGACTGAGCAAAGGGGAAGGGGCATGGGAGTAGGAAAGATGGTGGAATGAGATGGACATCATTACCCTAGGTACATGTATGACTGCACATATGGTGCGACATTACATCATGTACAACCAGAGAAATGAAAATTTGTGCTGAAATCAAAATGCATTCTGCTATCATGTATAATTAATTAGAACAAATTTTTAAAATTTTAAAAAGAAAAAAAAATAAGAAAGGTCACGATGGGCACAGCTACAAGGCAAAATTCTACCTCTTCTCTCTTTCTCTCTTCCAAAAGAAAAAAGAGGAAGATTCCTGACAACAAAAGGTAACCAAAGCAGCTGTACTTCTTTTGCATTCTCCTCCCCAAAACATAAATATCTGTGGTTGATCCAAGAGCCACTGGCCTTGGCTTGCAACACAAGCTCCATGCTGCCAGTGAATGACTGCTTACCCTTAATCTCAAGCTTTACATCATCTCCAACTGGGAGACTTGGATAAGCTACAGAACTAAACTCTGCAATAACTGACATTCAATGATTACTGAATGGCTAGGAACCTCTGGACAAAGAAGAGAAAGAGACCAGCCCAGCCTTTGGGTGCTACTGTGTACAATATTGAGAGGTAAAGCCATAACTCAATAAGGGAGTGACATAGTGCTCCATGAAAAGGAAGATAAACTAAAAACACTCATTCCTGTGGGGCTAAGTGAAATAATTACATACCCATGCTCCATCAGGTCCGAACAGTTCTAGGAAGTTGCCAATGAATTCCCTTGACTTCTCTTCCCACTTCTGAATTAGATCATGACTCTTTTCTTCCACTCTGTTAACAAACTCCTTTGATCTTTCCTCCACATTCTTGACCTTTTCTTTCATCTTGTCCACCTGGTTCTGGAAACGGTACTTCTTTTCCTGGTCAAAATTTATAGAAGAAAGAAGTGGATTTATCCAAGAGGGCATGAGCGAGATCAATCATTCACACTAATGGTCACATTTTATGTCAATTTGTATTTGTTTCTAACATTAAGAGTCAGGATGTTGCCATTTCCCAAGGGCTAGATTGACAGGAAGGGCAATTCTTATAAGAAAGTCATTTTTCATTAATCTACTTGGATATGTAAAGGGAAGTACAAGTTGTTTTAATTCTGTTAAATGTCTATGAGCTAAATTCACTTATATAAGAGAAAAATAAAAAAGATACAGTTGCCCTTTTATTTAAAAAAAGAATTCCTTTTTATTTTGTTTATTTTTTAATGTGGTGCTGAGGATTGAACCCAGTGCCTCACACATACTAGGTGAGTGCTCTACCACTGAGCCACAACCCCAGCCCCCACAGTTGCCCTTTATTAGGCAAATATCTCACTCAATTTTTCTGGTACTTACACAAAAGTACAGATTGTGTACAGAATGGTTTTCTGGTTAGCTAGGACATTGTTAAAACCAATATTGCTTGCAATAAGTGGGCCATTCACTGAGTTTTTGAACCTGTGTGTTATACCGAAACTTTCGTTGTAATGATATTTTCCAATAAGCTAGTTGGACTGCATCAATTTCCTTCGTAATGAAGAAAGTTTTTCTTCTGATAGCATCTCTGATTTTCTTGTTAGGGAATTTATGCAGCAATGCTGTCTATCTATATGCCTGAAAGCCACTGTGTGTTGGGCAAGTCATGTCACCTCTAAACCTGTTTTCTAATCTGTAAAATGGTGGTAAATTAAATAAGACAATGCATACAAGTGCTTGGCACATGCCTGGCATTTTGCAATTGTTTGATATACATTGACTGTCTCATTGAGATTAAATGTCACTGGCATTTATCTGTGTTACATCATGAACATTATATCAAAACAATGAAAATAACATGAGGCAAAGAGTCTTCAGCCATAAAATCATATGTTTTCCACTAAAAGGGTAAAAATACATATTGTTTTTCTTCACTATGTGGGACTCAAGTTCATTTTGTAATTCAGAATTTTCCAAAGCACCTTGAATATTATGAAACTGATACAGATCTTCCTTGGATCCCTGACTTAGATCTTCTAAACCTTACTGTAGCCTTAGGGTGAGGTATGAGCTATGTATATGTCACACCTCAGCAATATACACACACATATATGCTGTAGGAAGTCATTCAGTCTTTTATCATTTACTATGTGACCTTAGGTGAGTTGTTCAACCTCTCTGGGCCTCTGTTTTCTCACCCCTGTGTTCATTGAGGTCATTATACCCAATCTTATAGGCTTATCATGAGGATTAAGTGAAATAATCCAGGTAAAACACTCAGATGGGCACATGATAAACTCTCAAGACATTTTAGCTGTTGACTTTACATCATTGTCTTCCATAGTTCATTTTGCACAGGAGATGGTTGCTATGTACAGATCTCAGGGGCAGCAATGGGGAGCACTGGGCTGGGGAGTCATGATACTGGGACCTGCTGCCACCTCCACCTCTCCCTTACTTGAGGGATGCTGGCCAGGTTCCCTCTCTGGGTTCTGCTTTCTTCATCTCTGAATCAAGTGACTTAGACTTAATGACTGGCCCCCGTCAGGTCCCTGCCACTTCTGAGGTTCTGTGATTCAGCTACACGCCTATCCAACACATTCAATTTCATCTCTGAGCTACGGCCAGGTTTGTTGTCACAGAAAGGCAGTGAGCGCATCCACACTGTCTGCACGGTTCCTTGAGCTAAGTGGCTTATCGAAAGACCGTTTAAAAAGAATGAGCAATGACTTTTGGAAATGGCTTGCCATGCTTGGATGGTTGACTGAATTCAATTTAAAAGAACAGACAGTTTAATTTATTGAAATAACCAGGGCTTTATTCTCTGTAAGATACCAAATAATCACTTTGACTGAATTCTTTTCAGCCACTTGTTCTGGTGCCACTCGAACCCGACATTTTCCATTTTGTTGCCCGGCTTGTGCGAAGCAACAGAGCCTGGACTCCCAGTGCTCTCGGCCTCATGAGGACAATTAATAATCACTGATTTACAATTGATGAACCTCTCCTATTTTCAGTATCAATTATGTAAGTGCTGCATAATTATGTCTGCATGTAATGATAAGTACCTAGTTTTTTTTTAAATCTTATTGTTTTTTTTATTTTTGGTAATGGGAATTTAACCCAGGGGCATTTTACCACTGAGCCACATCCCTAGCCCTTTTAGTTTTTTATTTTGAGACAGGGTCTTGCTAAGTTGCTGAGTTGCTGGCCTTGAACTTGTGATCCTCCTGCTTCAGCCTTCCCAATAGCTGGGATTACAGGTGTGCACCACCTGGTGTAAATACATAGTTTTGAAGACAAATCACTCTTTCAAAGTATCGTATCTATTTCTGGGAGTTGGAATTCTGTATGTATGGTATGTATGGAGGACTCTTGTTTTCATCAAAGGTATCTGCTCCTTGGAGGCCAGGCAAATACAGTTGTCCAGACTTGCTAACATCACCTCCAGCCATGGGGCTGCCCTTTTGCTTTGGAACAGCTTGTTTTGCTTGTTTTAAAGATTGTTTTAACAGTTGCTCTATTATTAAACTAACAACACCTCTGTGGGAACAATACAGTAGAAATACAAAAAGAGGTCAAAGACTTTAGACTTTATTTAAGCAGCTGTAATTTCTCTGGACAATAAAAAACGGTTGTTAAGGTTTCTAATGAGCAGCTGTAAGCCCTAAAGAAAATGAAAATTTTTAAATGTTAAAACAAGAAAGCATTTTCTCTGGGCTTAGCATTTCATTGCTTCCCCTCACCCTCCTTCTTTCCCTTTAAGCAAAAGACAAATCTTGCCTTTTGCAAGGGACAAGATTTCCCAGAAAACCTTTACTCAGGTCTGAAAACATAAGAGGGAGGTTGGGATGAGGGAAGGGAAGTGAGGAAGCTCATTGGTTAACTTATGTTACCCCTTTGGAAATTGATTTCTTCATCTGTAAAATGGGGATAAAAACACATCATTGGGTTGTTATGTGGATTAAATGGGACAATAAATGCACAGCTTTGTTTTTATTTTTAGTACCAGGAATTGAACCCAGGGGCACTTACCACTGAGCTAAATCCCTCATCCCCAGTCCTTTTTATTTTTTATTTTGAGACAGAGTCTCACTTGCTGATGCTAGCCTCAAACTTGTGTTCCTCCTGTCTCAGCCTCCCTTAGTCTCTGGGATTGGAGGCATGTTCCACAGCACCCAGCTAATACAAGGCATTTAGAACACTGCATGGCACATAGTAACCCCTTGGTAGATGACTGCAGTGGTAGTGGTGAAGGTGTGATGTGGTGGTCCTCAGGGGATGTGGAGGGGCATGCTTACATTTATAAAGCTGACATTCAGTTCCTTGGCTGTGTACCCTCTCTGGAGGTTGCGTCGGGCATAAACATCATAGTCCCGGACAATTCTGGTGATGATGTCTGATGTTGAGATGCCTTCTGTTCTCTGGGTTGGAACAAACATTCCTGTTCAAACAGGAGAGGAGATAAAACTAAGATTAGTTTGGTTGACCCATTTTGTTTCATGGTCCTCCTTTCCAGGACAAAGTTGGAACTCTTAATTTGTCAGGAAAGCCTTCAGGTCTGGCCCCAACTCTTCTAGCCTCAGTTCCAAACACTTGCCCCCTACCATAAACCCTGTGGAGTAATCCCAGGCCTGTTCCCAGGGTACACCATACACTCATCTGGCTCCTGAGTTGACTCATGCCAAGCCCATCCTTTCTGCCTTGGATAACACTTCCCTGCCCATATCAATTACAGAGCTCCTCCTTATCCTGCATGGTCCAGCTTCAAGGTTCTACCTTTGGGAAGTATTTTCTGATATTACCAGGCAGAATCTACAACATTTTAGACATAAACACATCTTCTGTTAACAAAGGGATTTTTAATATCTGACTCCACATAGAAACAGACGTTTTGAAGGCACAGATTATGCCTTGTCTTTTCATCCCCAGCACTCAGCTCAGTGCCCCTGTGTCTAGCATGTGGAAGGTGCTCAATAAATGCAAATCAAATGAGTAAGTGAGTGAAGAATAACTGAGTCAATGAATTAGTCACATCACAGCTACTCCTCCTCTTCCAAGGAAGTCTGTGTCATATTATACTGAAGGAAAAGAAGAGAAAATATACTGTTTTTGTTATCTCTGTTCTAAGAACATGTCTGTGGGGTTCTGGATGATTTTATCCAAGAGTCTACTCTGCATGGCAGTTTACCACTCAAAAGCTCTTTCATGTGGAATACACGGGACTGAGTAAAATAAACACGGAGGGTGCCAAGATGTAAGTTCTATTAGACTTTCTTAAAGTCTTCAAAGATGTAAGTTCTATTAGACTTTCTTAAAGTCTTCAAAGATATGTTTGTGTATGCCAACCAATACAGGCTATAAAGAGGTCATAAATATTAAGATAGAAGTGGATTCATGCTCAAAATTCTGTTGTCAACTGAAATAATATGTTGGCAACCGAGATCTTTCTACCCAATATTCATTACAACCACTTAGAGACATCACACAAGAGACAGCATGATAGAGCCCAGGGACAATGGTAGCATGTCCTCAATTTACAGGATTGGGCAAGTCATTCAAACCCTAGGAAGGCAAGTTATTAACCTTAGTCTTCTTAACTGAGAGATGGGGTAGCTGGATACAGTGACTTGGGACTCATCTATGCCTTTTCTCTTGCCCTCAATCCCCATATCTGGTCAATTTCCAATCACCAACCTATTTTTCAAAAAGTTTTCCTAATTCACCCACCTTTCTTCTCTCTCATTCTTAATCAATCCAACACAATCTTGTTCAAATATCACAGCAAGAGCCTCAAAAGCAGTCTCCAGTGGTATCCTTGTGTGTGTGTGTGTGATGCAGGGAATGAAACCCAGGGCTTCATGAAAACTAGACAAGTGCTCTATCACTAAGTGACATCCCACTTCAACCCACATAACAAGATCTACAAGGTGATTTTTTTTCAGTATTGTGGATTGAACCCAGGGACACTTTGCCACTGACCTACATGCCCAGAATCTCACTAAATAGCTTAGGACCTCACTAAGTTCCTGAGACTGGCCTGGAATTTGCGATCCTCCTGCTTTAGCCTTCCAAGCCACTGGAATTATAGGTGTGCACCACTATGCCTGGCTCAGAGTGATCTTTCTAAATTGCTGAGGCTGGCTTTGAACTTTGGATCCTCCTGCCTCAGCCTCCTGAGTTTTGGGAATTATAGGAGTGTGCCACTGTGCCTGGCTCAGAGTGAGCTTTCGAAATATGCCTGCTCAGACCCCTTTATTGGCTTTCCACTGTCCTCTGAATTTAGAGCCCAATCCTTAATTTGGTTCTGAAGCAGCTTGCATGATCTCTTCTCTGTGCTTCTTTCTAGCCTCATCTCAGACCCTCTCCCCTTTACTCCCTAAAGTAAGACTCCTGTGCTGCAGATCTGCAGATTTTGTTCTTGTTGTATTCTAAGGAGCTGGGAAATACACTGTGCCTGCCTTGGCCCAGCCATACTAAACTTTAGTGTTCTGAAAATGTTGGCTCTCCTCTGCTAACTCTGTCAGAAACACAATCTATCTGGTTAACTCTTGGTCATTCTTTGGGTTTCAGTCTGGTGGCACTTCCTCAAGGAAATCCCTCAACCCCAGACCAGGACTTTTTGTTTGTTATTCCCTCCCATGTGCCATTGCTCTTTGCCTTCAAATACTGCAAGAATTTCATAGAACAACTTTTTCAGTAACTGTTTCCTCCACCTGCCTATAAGATACATGAGAGAAGAAACTCTTCTATGTTCTTAGCACTGGGTGACAAGCAGACACTATAGGAACACTGTTGAATGAATGACTAGATGAATATTGATCCCTCAATGACCTGGTTCATCCTGAATTTTTCAGTCTTCTAAACCCAACTAGGATGTCCCTTCTGAAACTTTCTTTTGATGTCATCTGCTAGTGGTGCTGCTGATGTTAGGGACGGAACATTCAGTTTTTCATGTTCTGTGACTCAGAGGACTGAGTTAGGGTTTGCCACCAGGTGAAAAACTTTGTTTTATCACCCTTTAGGGGAGTGGAATAAAAAACAGAAAAATAAATGGAAGGCAGAGGGTACAAATATCTAAACACATGGGCATATATAGCACTGAAACTGACCCAAGTGTGTAGGGTGCTCTGGTGAGTGGAGGAACCCTGAGTAGTCTCAAGCTGGTGTCGGGGGGGTAGGTGCTGGAACAACATCCCCACCTTGGTGGGAGCAGTGGAAAGCTTTCTCGTGAGAAATTCATTCCATCTTTTAGCAGGTAGATATTTCTCCCATGCTCTAGTCTGCTATGAGGTTAAGAGGACTCTAGCTATGAACAGATTTTAGAAAGTCATTTAGACATTGGTGACATGAGCTCACCCTTTCTTTGAAGCCAGAGAGTGAAGTGTCTGTGGTTGAGTAACTGAAAGTAGGTTTGGGGCTGGGGAGAGATTTGCTTTGGCTGGTTAGGAGGTAGGTTTCTGAAAGAAGCCAAGCCCTTTGCTGACATAATGAGGCACCCGGCTTCCTCCAAATCCTAATTATTGCTCTTCTAAAAATATTCAGTAATGAGCATGATCAGAGAACCTTTTTTATCATGCTTTTCAGAACTGCAGCATTTGGTTATGGAGCTATTTTAAGAAGCAGCAAAGCACATGTTAATGAAGGAAACTTTCAACAGTAGTAGGCAATATTAGAATGATGATGAGTAATGTGGACCTTACAGTCTATTTCATTTCAGCTCCATCATTTCACCAAGCCTTGCTACAGGGTTTTGATGTGTAGCTCTGACAAGCAGAGCAGAGTGTTGTAAAGCTTAATTCATGTTCTTGATATCTCTGGCTTCATTTAAAGTGATTTTTTACTCTCAAAACAGGCCACAATTAGAGTGTAAAAGTCAATTGTGGATGCTCAGGCCCTTTCTGAGCATCTTTATCTACAATGAACTCTGGTCCTCTCTACCTAGGCCCCAAATAGATCTTTGCTGTGACTTTCCCTCCTGGTGAGAAATCAGCAGGTCAGATTAATGGACCAGAAGGAAGATTCCTCATGTACATGACAAGTCATACAGAATCTTAGGCCCCAGAACAAGTAAAATACCACTTGACTATTTAATATGGAAAAGGAATTGTGGTGGATTAAAAAATGGCCGTAATTCCCTTTCCTTCCCTGGAATTTGGGTTGGCTCAGGTGACTTGCTTGTACTGTATAGAAAGGGACATGATGCTGTGTGATTTCCAGTGGTAGGTCAGAAGGAGTCTTGTGGCTTCTATCCAGATTGCTCATGCTCTAGATAGTTCCTCCCAGTTTACCATGTTGTGAGAAGCCCAAGCAACATTGAGAGACCAAGTTTAGGTACTCCAATGACAAACATGACTGAGCTCCCTGTTGACCAGTATCCAAGGCCAGCCATGTAAGTGTGCAAGCTGGGAGCCCCAGCCCAATAGCTTTTCAGAGGACTGTAGCCCCTACCAACATCAGATTACAACTATATGAGAGGCCCAAGCAAGAAGCACCCATCTGAGCCTCTGTTAAAATCCTGCCCACAAAATCAAGAGAAAAATAAAGTGACTCTTTCAAGCCACTAAATTTGGGACTCATGTTGTTACTCAACAATAGAGATGCTGGATTGCTAGAGTTAGAAAAGTGTTGGACTTGTTCCAATACCCAATTGGAACTCAGCATTGATTTTATTCCCTAAAATCAGAAAAGCAACTTATTTTTCACTCACTAGAGGTCACTCACTGCAAAAGAAAATCAGCACCTAATGCTTGTTCCTACATTGCAAGGTAGCTGAGTAATCCCAGGAAACAAGTGATTCAGTTAGCCTTGGGGGATACGTGACTGGACCCTAATTGCCCATCTAGATCCATGGGGCTCTAAATAAGGTCTATGGATCTGCAGCTTTTAGCAACCTGTGAGCTCATTAAAAATGGGAATTTCAGGCCCCATTAGACCTCCTGAATCCAAATCTGAATTTTCACAAGATCCTGCAGATGGTGTGTAGGCATCTTTAAGTTTGAAAAAACAGAGGTCCTTATGGTAATTTTAGGGAAGGGGCAGGTGACTCACTGCTCAGATCTTATGAAGACTTAAAAAAGTCTTCAATCACCCCATGTCATAAAATCCATCTTCATGTAACTGACCACTTCTTTCCCCTTTCTTCCCATACTGTGTTTCCTGGCTTCTCAGAAGCCTTCCAAGTTTGAAGTGTAAAGAATTTCCTTTTTTCAGAACTCCTTACAAATAAGATTGGGATTTAAGAATGTCAGTGCTCACATTTCTATCCAATGCTCCTGAACCCTGAGAAGCCATTACTAAGAGGATGGTACAAGCCTGACTATCATCCCCGCTGGGAGTGGCATGGAGCTTCCCTAATTGGCCCCAAACAAGTGGGAATAAGCCAGAACACCACTGTGGAGAATCAGTACTTTCTATGTAACAGAATAATTCCCTGAACTATTTATCCAGTGTCATTTTCATTTCTAGCATCATGTCTGTCCTGAGGCACTGTTCCCACTGATACTAAGACCTCCATCATTTCAATAGGAGGTACATATAGCTGAGATTACAAGAGAACATGTTAAACCTTTGACTTCTAACACAGGCTGTTTTTAAGGCTCACTGGAAAAAGAAGAGTTAATAAAGGCAAGCATGAAAATATTTTTCTAAATCTCAAAGATGTCCCTGGAATTATTAAGAACCAGAGGCTGAGCAGACTCAGTCTATAGAATGTTTGACCATAAGCCCTGGAATGGGAAAGTCATGAAATTAACACAGGGATGGTTTTTCCCATTTTATGATTTTAATCTGATGAGCCATAAAATTGAGCCTCAGACCTGAGGTTGAGTACTTTGGTGCTCAAGTTAATTCTTTTTTTTTAATACCTTTATTTTTTATTTATTTATATGCAGTGCTGAGAATCAAACCCAGTGCCTCACACATGCTAGGCAAGTTCTCTACCACTGAGCCACAATACCAGGCCTGATTAACTCTTATATAAATGTCGTAATAGTGTCTGTGCCATGACTGAGCCTTAGCACATGTCAACAGAGGCTTGTAGAAGTTGCTTGGGAGACACCCGACATTCCAGTGCCCTGTATATCTATGCTGTAGTCCTAGGGCAGATGTCTCTTCTAACACCTGATTATTTGGTGTGGTGGACAGATGATCACAGGGGGATGCCTCACCTGCTTCCTTTATATGCTTGTAAACATCATCAGAACCAGCAGAAGAATACGGAATGTCATCATGAGCCACAAAGTCAATCTGTTGGAAAGAAGAGTGACATCACCAATAGAATGGATGTTCATGTCTGAAGATTCAAAAAGAACTGGTGCCTCCAAAACACATTTTTTAAAAATTAGAGCTTTATGGTTATACATAGTAGTTGGGTTCATCTCAACAAACTCACACATGCATGGAAATTGATTTCAGTTCATGATCATTCCTTTTCCTCCCTTCCCCCCATCCTCCCTCCCCTCTCCCAGTCTCCTTCTTCTATTAGACTTCCTTTCACTTGTCTATTAATTTTTTTAAATGCCTTTTTGAAATAGGGCAATCATATGTTACATTTATATCACAGATCTGAATCCTTGACTAAAAGATATTTACAACTGTCTCCATTTCCAAGAGATAACTGGAACTGGAAGAATAAATATTTGGTTCCTCTCCTTTGATGACAGTAGGTTTCTACCTTTGACAATAAGTTTTCTTGATCTTTTTTTTTTTGCCTTTAAACTTTCTCCTTCAGAGAACTCATCCATTTCTCAGACTTTAATCATTCCTGCTATGAAAAGGAACCTAAGTCTCCATTTTCTGTCCCAATGAGACAATAGTCACTCATACTTAGGTCATATTTTATATCATGAAAATGAACTTGTCTGTTTTTTCATTTGATCCTCCTAACTTTGTGAAGTGAGTAGTGCATATAGTACTACTTCAGTTAGGATATAAGGTGACGAAATGGGATAACTTCTTAGATATGCCCAAAGTCACATAGCTGATTGGTGGTTTAGAAATGGGAATGGGCACCTGGGGAACCAGGCCAGGCTTTCTTAACTCTTACTGCAGCCTTCTTCTCTTTTATCATTTCTTGCTGTCACTTGAAAATCAACCTGTTCTGAATTGAATTCATCTTCCTGAAAACTGGGCCCACTTCCAGTGGCACCTCCTTTGTCTATTTTCCTAGACCAAAATCTTGGAATTGACCTTCTTTCCCTACTTCCTTCACTTTCCATAGCACATAGGCCACAGGTTCCATTGTTGTGTGTGCGCACGCACATGCACTCATGGGCTTGTGCCCATCACTTCCTCTCCATTGATACTATAACAAATCCAGGCCCCTGTCACCTGGATTACTGACACCAACTTGTATCGGGACCTCCTCATTGTAGTTACAAGAGGTGTCATCTTTAAACAAAATTTCTTTCTGGTCTTCTTCAGAATGCCTGCTAATTTCCACCCCTGTTTTCTATTATATCAAGTAAACTCTTGGCACAGCTTTCAAAGCCTTTCACTCTATTTTGAGAGGTAGTTTCGAGTAGCAGTTTAATTTGCTGGGGTATGAGTCTTGTCCTACCACTTGCTAGCTACACAACTCCAAAGTTGGTGGGAAGGATTCCATCAGTATTTCTCAACCTCAGTATTAGTGACATTGGGGACTGGATAACTTTTTGGTGTGGGAGACTGTCTTGTAAGTTGGAGGATGCTTAGCAGCATCCCATGCCTTTACCCACTAGATGCCAGTAGCACCCTCTAGCTATAACAACCAAAACTGTTTCCAGACATTGCCATATAGAGAATCACTGGATTAAATGACATAAATATATAATCATTCCTAAAAATAATTACTGGCACGTAGTAAGGACTTAATAAATTATTATTAATTATATTCTCAGTACTCAAGCTTATTTCCTCCTCTCCAGTGTATACTAATAATAACTTCTTAGGATAGTCATGAGATTGAATTTGATTCATATAATAACAAAGTCTTTAGCAGAGTGCTGGGCACAAGGTAAATAAATGGCAGCCATCATTATCATTATTACTATCTCCTATAATGCCTATCACTGTTGAATATACAATAGCTGCTTAGTAAAAATGTTAGTGATTACTGGAAGTAAATCATATTGTAGTTTTTTTCCCTTTTCTTTTCATTCTCTCTAGAAAATTGTCTCCTTTGCTATTACCCATGCACATTTATCACTGTTCTCTATTCTCTTCTGCATTGTGAATTTAAAAATAGAAAAGAAAATTCTTAGAACAGCTTAATCTTATTTTTTTTGTACTGCTTATGAGAAGAAAGAATAGCTCCTAATGTGGGGCTGGTAGGGAGATACAAAGCACATAATTTGATGCAGATCAAAAGAATTTCTCATGTTTTCAACTAATAAAAATCTTATGTCAGTAGGAATCTTAGGGTCACAAAATCAGAAATAGGAAGTTCTTTCCTTAAAGGCTGGCCCCTGACTTGGATAAGATGTGTGTTCATTTGTTCCATATAAAAGGATGCCTGTGAATGTGCAAGCAATAATGATGGCAGTCATGGTGATTATGATGACATCCTTGCAGCTCTTGCTATAGACCAGCCAGTCTTCCAAGTGTTTGACTTACTTACATTACCTCATGAAGTTCTCAATATGGGCCCCATGAAGAAGATACCAATGTCATCCCATTTTACAGAAAAAGGTAAGAGAGTAGTGCAGTTAAATATCTTGCTCAAGGTTCCACAATTAGGGGCTGGGGGTGTGGCTCAAGCGGTAGCGCGCTCGCCTGGCATGCGTGTGGCCTGGGTTCGATCCTCAGCACCACATACAAACAAAGATGTTGTGTCCGCAAAATAAATAAATAATTAAATATTTTAAAAAAAGGTTCCACAATTAGAAGAAGACAGAGGCAGCATTTGGACCTGGATAGTCTAGTTCTAGCATCTATAAGACAGCAGTCCCCAGGATCAGGCAGAAGAGAAGTGCTATAGCAAGTGACACCACATGACAGCTCCCAAAGTTACCTCTTTTAGAAATTGGAAGTGTTTGGGGGCATTCTGCAGCATCTGCTGCAGAACCAGACTTCCTAATCTTACTATTTAGAGAACACGGGAGAATGAGAAGTACCTTGTGTTTTTCCAGAAACTCTGGTGTGAGGGTCCATGGAGCATCTCTGATGACTTCATCCACGTAGCGACAGTGTCTGAGAGCTTCATACCTTTCTGCTTCATTCATCACAGTGAAACCTTTGAATTTGTGGGTGAGATCATCACTGCAAACTGAAACAGTCAAACATATTAAATACTGTTACCAGGTGCCCTGGTGCAAACATTGCTTCTTGGGCAAGAAAAAAGGAGCATAGGCTGACTAGGTGCTTGGCATAATTGAACACAGCCTTTTACAGGAACAAAGGATGAGGAGAGTGAAGCAAACCTAAACCCACTGGGAAATAAGGATTTCATTTTAGTGCTAATTACAACTGCATTCTCCACTGAGGCTTTTGTAAAAAGTATTCTCCACCTACCCAATGTGACTTTCATATATTTTTATCTCTCTATCCCACCCTTCAGTGAAAATTACTATTCGGAAATAAAATGACCAGATGAACAGAGAAAGCAGAGAGAAGTCAAGAAGCCTGAATTATTGAAGGTTTGACCAATCAGTTCAAATTATTTTGCTAGATCATTCATATTTAAGTAACCCAAGGGTCAACCCTCTCACCCTCTGCAACACACTTCTGTTCCCTGGATCAAAGTCCACTCACTACACATTAGCCTATACAATCAAGAGGGGAAAGTCATAAAATAGAAGGTCAGATCTTACAGAGTTCACCCTTCCCATATCGCTTATCTATTCTAGATCTCAGGCTCCTGAACCCTCAAATGAGGGTAGTAATATATTTACTATCAGCCTTAGGAAAGATTTTTTTGAGGGTTTACATAAATGTGTTTTTAAAAAATATTTTTTAGTTGTCAATGGACCTTTATTTTATTTATTTACATGCAGTGTAAATTGAATTGAACCCAGTGCTTTACACATGCTAGTCAAGCACACTAGCACTGAGCCACCATCCCAGCTCCCATAGATGTGTTTTGAAATACCTTAAAAAATGAAATATATTTCACTATCCCTATCTTTTGTTTAGTCAAGGAAGATGAGATTACAGGCATGCACCATGGTGCTCAGCAAAATTCTCTAATTTTAAGTTCACAGGAAGTGGTTTACAAACAAGAATATGATCATTTTCCTGGGATCAAATCCTGTTTCATGCCTAGAACCAAATCTGGCCACCAGTGAGTACACAATCCACATTCACATTCAGCATTCTTGGAAACCCTCCTTTTGTAGCCCCTTCCTACACTCCACATCCAAACCATCAGCAAAATTACTGGATGTGCCTGAGAAAGCAAAGATGTTGATCAAAGGGCACAAAGTTTTAGTTAGATGGAGGAATAAGTTTTATTGATCTAGTGGACTGCATTGTGACCACAGTTAATAATAATGTATTATATATTTTTAAATTGCTAAAATAGATTTTTAACATTCTCACCACAGAAAAGATAAATTGGTAAAGTAATATGTATGTTAATTAGCTTGATTGAATATTCCTCTAATGATTGAAATACCGCATTGTACCCCATAAATATATACAATGATTTTCTGTCAGTGATAGTCATGTGTTTCTAATGACAGGGAAAAGTTCTGAGAAATGCATCATTAGTTGACTTCATTGTTGTATGAATATCATAGAGTGTACTCACACAGACCTAGATGGTATAATAGGGACATCAATTAATATAGTCTCTTGATGCAATCAAGAGACACAGTAAATATTAGATGAATGAGGCTGCTGCTAGCTTAACCCAGCATACTATTTAAGTAAACTTTTAAAAAATAAGTACACTCTAAATTACCAATAAAAAGTATAATATCATAAACACAAAAACCAGAAGAATAGTTGTCCTTTATCATTATTAGTATTATATACTGTACATAGTTACATGTGCTATATTTATGCTTTTTGACACAGGGTCTCAATATGTTGCCAAGGCTGGCCTCAAACTCTCCATCCTCCTGCCTCAGCCTACTAAATATCTGCAACTACAGGTGCACACCACCATGCCTGGTTTATATTATATTTTTATATGAGTGGTGGAGCAGTAGGTTTATTTATACGGCAGCACCATAAACAGGTAAGTAATGTGTTACACTGTCACATTCTGATAGCTCAAATATCACTAGGCAATAGGAATTTTTCAACTCCATTTATAATCTCATGGGACTACCTTTGTATACTTGGTCCATTGTTGAATGAAATTTCCTGATGTGGTACATGAGTTAAAAAATAATTTTTAAAAGTTCACTTGGAGGGCTGGGGTTGTGGCTCAGTGGTAGAGCACTCGCCTAGCATATGTGAGGCCCTGGGTTCAATCCTCAGCACCACATAAATAATGAATAAATAAAATAAAGGTATTGTGTCCAACTACAACTAAAAAAAAAAGTACACCCGGAATCCAAGTTCTGCTCCCCACCTCCATTGCTCCCATTGTGACCCACTCACTTTTATGGATTACTACCATGGCCTCCTAACTGGTTCCAGTCTTGCTCACCCCTAACACCCTATTCTCATCCAGAAAGAGCTCATTAAAACCTGCCAGATTAAGTCCTTCCAGACTCAGAACCCTTTCCATCCCTCTCAGAGTAAAAGCCAAAGTCTTCCAGTGGCTAACAGACCTTTACAAGATCCAGACCTCTGCCCACTCCTTCCCTCTATGACCCATCTCCTATTGCAATCCAGCCCCAGCCTCCTCACTGTTTTCTCAAGCTACTGTGATCCTCTTCCTCAGGGCAGGGTTTTGCACTTCCTATTTCCCAAACCTGGAACTGTTGTGCTTCAAATCCCATGGGATTCACTCCCTTTCCTCCCTTAAGTCTTCCTCTGGCACTCTATTTATTCTGAGTTACAATCAAATTACTTCCTGCCATCGCACTGGCAGTCATACAACTGTCTTATTTAATTTTATTGTTGGTGTTTCCCTACTAAAATGTAAGCTCCCTGGGGGGCATGAACTTGCAGCCATTTCATTTTCTGATGAACAATACCTGGCCTCTAGTAGGTTCTTAACAAATACTTGGTGAATGAATTAATGGTGCCTGATGCATATAGATGCTCAATAAATGTTGATTATTATTTAAAATAATAGATGTATAGTTATCTGCAGGTACATTTCAACAACATACATGCAAATAAGAGACTAATGGGTCTCTGAATATACATACACACATGTATTCAGAGATATAAAATATCTCAGAAAATATTTATAGGTGGTACATTAGTTAAATATCTTCTGAGATATTTTTATTGTAGCAGTTTACATTACCAAAACAACACCAACAATATGGCTGGCTCAAAAACTTTGATGAGTATCAGAATCACCTAAAGAGCTGGTTAAATACAAATGTGTGTGGGTTTTGCTCTTTGACAGTTTGATTGAGTTGGTCTATAGTGGGGCCCAAGCAGCTCTGTTTTTGACAAACTTCAGGAATGATACTGATGTCCACAATATGTGCAAACCCCTAATGAATATTATGAACAACTTAAGTAAAACAACCTGTCTGTTTTTGAATCATCCATCATGCCCAGAAGCAAGAGGTGATGGATGAGGCTAGGTAGCAGGGTCATATATGACTATGTATTGATTCATTGACTCCCAAAACAGGAATGATTGGTGGGCTATCCTATACAATTTTAAAAAACTGATCTAGATGTTCTTTGGGGGCTTTATTAAAATACTACATCAAGAATCATACTGAGGACCTGCAGTTCTAGCTCAGTAGTAGAGAGCTTGCCTGGCAAGTGTGAGGCACTGGATTTGATCCTTAGCAGCACATAAAAGTAAATAAATAAAATAAAGGTATTGCATCCATCTACAACAACAAGAAATTTTAAAAAGAATCATACTGAGCGGAAAGGGATTTCAGATCCATCAATATTCTATCTCAAACAGCACAAAACTAGGCTGGATGGTATCTTTCCCCCTTTTTGAATCTGCACCTGAGCAATTTAGTGTAACTTCTGAATGACCAAGATAATGGCCTCCTGATAGATCACAAAGAAAACAAACATCCTGTTTACGTCAATACAGGGCTCTATTTTCATATCCCAGGAGTGACCTCAAGAAGCAGCTGAACATGCTGACCAGTTATTGTCTAAACATTAATTACACCCAAAGCAGCACTGTTGTGCTTGAGTCTTGGCAAATGCACTCTGACAACCAGATGGAGAACTGTGAGCAGTGGTATTCCATGGATGAATTCATTGAGCTCTCTGGGAGCTCATGCTGCAACTAACCTATCCTGGCAGCTCACTGCGCTCAAAATGAAATACCCTGCAGGAAAGAAAAAATAGCATAGGGGTTGAACTTTAGAGCCCAACAGATTTGGATTCCAATCCCAGCTCTGCTACTTACTACTTGCAAAGTTATTCAAACCCTCCAAGCCTCAGTTGCTTAATCTTTAAATATGGTGAAGTTTTGAGAATTAAATTTGATAATCCACATGAGCAGAAAGTAATGCTCAATGACGTTAGCCATCAGTAGCAGTAATGCAGGATCATTTATGGGAATATTCCTTTGGGTTTTGTGTTCTGTCTTTTCCCTGCCCAGCTCCATGTAGGTGTTCAGGCCTCTTGGTACAAACTCCCTTGCAGAAGTTGTAAAGTTCAAGTTGCTGGTAGACAGCCTGTCTTCTTGGCATCTGTTTTTACAAAGCCAGAGCTCCTTGGGGGAATTCTATAAGGAAGAACACAAGGAGAGGGAAGATTCCTCCAAATTGGGAGGAAAAGATCAATTGACTGTGGATTCTACAAGCAGCAGGGGCCAGTGGAAGAGCCTCAAGAGGAATGAGGACATGAGGCCCTAAGCACGGGAGCTCCCACCTGGGCATAGACCACAGTTGCCTCACTTGCAATGGATCCGCTTTCTGCTAATAATTATGTGGGCTTGGATAATGAGGACAGTGAAAAAAAAATGTCACTGAGTTGAAGACTAGAAGCTCTTCTCCTGGTTTGTTTTGCAAATATTTTGGACACTTGTTGACTCTGGGGAAGTCAAAAGAACCCAATAAAAACTGCGATTGAGTTTCTCACCAGTCATGCAAAATGAAATCTGAGAATTTTTTTAACTGTTTTTTTTTTGTTTGTTTGTTTGTTTGTTTGCAATACAGGGGTTCAAGCCCAGGGCCTCCTCCATGCTAAGCAGGTGGTCTACCCCTGAGCTACACCCCCAGCTGTAGAGGAATATTTCATTTCAATTAAAATTCAATAAAGTATAAATACAAGCTTGTGGAGTAATATTTACATCAACTATAGTAGCAGTAGTAATATATTTATTGCTCCCATTTTTATTCCCCTCCTATGATGCAGAGGTAGATGCTTAGGGACTCTCATCTTTTAAAAATATTTTTAGGGAAAAAATTCTGCTATAAATTGTAATTTCTTGACCTGTTTTCAAATGACATGAAATTTTAAATTAAAATGAAGAAAAAGTGCTTTACAAGTGAATCATTTCAATTCATTAAAATAATGCTAACAAGGTAAGCTTGCACAGAAAAATTCAAATAATTACTATCTATATGCTCAAGAAATTATATATGCAGGTAATATAATCATAGTGTGAAATCATGACAGTTGTGGTGTCTACTCCTGCCTAAGGCTGAGAAGTAGACTACAGTACCTCCAGTTATCTCAGTTTCCTATCTTTTAATAAATTGTTTCTGGTAAATACTAAGTATTGGCACCAAATACCTGTCCATGTACTTGCCCCAACCAGAGTAGCTTCACAGGGTAAAGCCTTCACTTTACCCAGGGGAATTCCTAAAAAGAACCTACCTGTAGATGTAAGGGGGGCTACAATTGACATGAGAGGCTCTTTTAACTCACCATAGCATTTTTATTTGTTAACTACACACATAATATCAAGAGCCAGCCTTTCAACTGACAACACAGAATACCTATTCTTCAAGGGCCCTCTGAATATCCTCAGTATAGAATTGTCTGCCATTAAGTTGGTTTGTGATAATCCAAAAAGATAATCTAAGGCAAAGGTCCCCTCAAACTAGGGTACACATACCTTCAGGGGTATGCAAAAACTTTTCAGGAGGGATCCAAACACAGTTTTAAAAGAATCAGTGTCTGGAACCTCAATATCTAATAGCACCCTTCCCTAAAATTAATGGGTCTGAAAAAGTCTCTGTATCCAAAACCACCCTTACCTTACTTAAAAGAGAGGTGCCTTATTCTTAAAAGAGAGGTGCCATCTAAACTTTACTATGTTACATTTCAAGTGGTAAGAGGTTTCACCCTCAGGCCAAACCAAATAGAAACCCCATTTAATGACTCTTTGAAGTGCCATGAACCTATAAAAGCTTCCTCTCTTTCCCTGTCATGTATGTACTTCTGTTACAGGTGAAATTTGGTGTTAGAAACTGAATGTAGTAGAATAGAGAATAATGCAAATTTTGACCTAACAACTTTGCTTCCTCTTCTCCCAACTATTACCAGAAAACACATGAATCTTTAGGGATAGGGCCTAGGAGGAATTCAAAGCAAAAGGAGCACTGGAAAGAAATATTGAATGCTAAAAATGGCTTTTTCATGTAGTTAAGGGTAAGCATTTTTCCAGCTATTCTCAACACTCATATTGAATCCTAAAAATGGCTTTTCTCTTGTAGTTAAGAGTAAGCATTTTTTCCAGCTATTCACTTCAAAATCACTTTAATAAGCCAAAGCTGTATAAGCTGGTACTGCTGCTTCTCGGAAATGTAACTGGAATATTTTCTGGAATTATCAAATTTTTAAAGATATATTGGAATAAATGTCTGAGCAAAACATTAACATGATTTTTCCAGATTCCATATGCATTATTTAAAAAGTAAGTTAAAAACCTACTTTATAAATTCACATTATAAAATATTCCATTTACAGATAATTCTTATTCTATTTTATCTTCTAAAATGTTTATTTTCTGCCTCCTTATAATAAAAAATAAAATTACATACTCCCAGAGCAATTATTTTTAGTAGGTTTTTTCCCTTTCCATCTTTAAATACATAGGAAAATTTTAATCATGATATCTAACAAAGATAATTATTTTTATTTTTATATTTGATTTTATTCCCCAAAGCCAAACACTAGAATTTGCTACACATACATACCAATAATTAGAGAAGGAATAACATAACTTTTAAAAATTGTGTTTCTCTTCTTATTAACGCCATCTAATTTTATCTATAAATTACATTGCATCACTACAAATTAAGTACATTGATTTATTGTATTGTTTATAATTTATTATATTAGATCTACATTATTTTAATCTTAACATTCTCTTTTATATAATCCATTCTATAATTATTTCTCAGTGGTTTTTATAAAGCCTCTTGAAATGCATTAATACATTTTATTTAAAAGGACATTTTCTTGGTTCCTATTAGTTTTGAATGTAAGGACTAGTTTTGCCAATTAGGTTAGAAAATAAGCTCTGAAAATTTAGTAAGCTAAAACTGCAGCCCCAAAGTTTTCCCTTTTAGTTTTGCTTTGAGACTGGGTCTCACTAAGTTGCTCAGGCTGGCCTGGAACTTGCAATCTACCTGTCTCAGCCTCCTGAATAGCTGGGATTATAGGCATGTGCCACCTCGCCTGACAGCCCCAATTTTTTTTGAGTAAATGATAAAATTGTTTCAAAAATTACTGGGCTGATGCACAAGGCCCTGGGTTCAATCTCGGCACACACACACAGAACAAAACTGGCTTAGTAATGGTGTAATGAAATTACCAATATTTCCATTCTCCCAGCCCTTTCTGCATGTATCTGGTTGAATAAGTTGCTTTCAAGTAAAAGAGTAATGGTTATAATTAAGAGTCATTTGATAAGTCTTGAATATAGCCTTTTGTTATTATTCCAAGAAAGAGAAAAGGCAAATGATTCTAATAGCTTTAACAATTCCTTTTGTGAGTAAGGTCATTTCCAATTCATTGCTTGCAACAAATTTGAAGGAGGTTCTTAGCAAATAGTCACTTGATAGATTACTTTGGGTGACGAAATAATAATAATAATAGTAATAATAATAAATTATTTTGTGTTTTTTGGGCCAGTAACTCTGAAGGAATTCAAAGAATTGAGTGGCATCACTGTAACAAACTCATTCCATTCCCATATATGCATTTGTGTGAACCAAATATTTCATTATATATATGTATAACAAGGAAAATAGGAATAAAATTTATGTTAAACACTGCCTCATTCTAGCAATAGTTATATTTATCCACAGGTACATTCACAAATAAGGAGATCCCACTCATCTCATTAAGAGACACACTGCTGATCAAATTTATGTTCATTTTTAATAATTATTTATCAAAAGTTATATTGCAGTATTTTGGTTAGTTGTGTGCTAATTTATATACATAATTCTGTTTCAGAGAATATGATAGAGTGATCAAAAAAAGATTTCAAGCACTAAAGCATCCCATTAGAAAAAAAATTATAGGAGAGAAAAGAATGAATGTATAAATGTGAGGAGAAAAAAAGACAATTTATAAAATATTTGAAAGTTCAAAAAGAGCTTGATATATTTTGTGAATGAATAATGGTACATTTCAAAGTGTCATATGTTTTAAATGCCACTGGTACATGTAAGTGATTAGGTAATAATTTTGTTTTAAAATGTCAAAATTGGACTTCTATTTTCTTGCCTGGCATGTAAGGAGATTAGACATTACCACTCCATTCTAATGACAAGTAAAAAGAAGAAGCAACTGAAAAATCAACAACTCTTCAAAGATTTGTCAGAGAAATGATGTCACAGGGTTGCCCCCAACATTGGAGAAACAGACAGATAAAGAGAATCACAATTTACTGGAGCAGAAACCCACCAGCAGAAATCTCTGAGGGATCCAGTGCTGGAAAGGAAAATTTAAACTGACAAATTGCTGGGGGCTCAGTGTGGACAAGTGTGAGTCTAAAGCTAGGAGTACAGAAAACTTTCACTGTGATCCACACCAAACCATCTCCAAGGTTAAGTCGCCAAAATGAGCAAAACCCAAACACAGCAGAGGTTTCCCCAAGTTTCTGGTAGCCTAGGACCAGACTCCAGATGTTCATGCTCAATCAAGAAAGTTTTCCACTCAGGACAATGGGAATAAAATAAGAGTTGGGTTTTCTGACCACTTTGGGTGTCCTCTGCATGACTTGTCCATTAACTGCTGCCTTTTACCCCTCTTCCTTCTGAAAGAACTCCATTCAATAGCCACATGATCACTACCCTTAGCAAAATATGCAGAATGGTTCCTCTTAAATATACAAAAAGCATTTTTAAAACTTGCAGAAGATGCCAAAATACTCAAAAAAAATACAGTCTCTTACCAGCACTGTTTTTTTCTCTCACAGAAGTTTAAAGATTGATGGTAAATAAATAAATAAATAAATAAAGGTGGGTGGTGTCACTTTATACAGTACCATAAAAACTGATCATAGTGAATGCATATGCTACTTTCAGAAGCTACAGAAGTGAGAATGAAAGCCTACTAGGCAGGTACTATCCCTTTTGCCCAAATTGAAATAGATAGGCCCTCTGGGGGAGAAAATTTTTGATCTACATTTAACCATTCTTCTCTTTCCATAAACTTTTGAAGTAAGTCAAACCCTTCATTATGAACCAAGATTACTTGGGTACATAAATCTCCATTTCTTTAACACACTGAATAAAAATTCAACTAATTAGGGCTATCTTAAGCCATTATTATTAGCACAATACTGTCCCAAATGCTATGGGTTGCACAAAGGAAATAGACAATGACTTTGTTTGCCCCTTAATCATCCTAAACCTCTGTAGTTCTCCAAGATTTGAAATCAGAATAGTATTGCTTTTCTCTTAATCATGCCTCTGGATCATACCCCAAATTCCATTAGAAAAGCATTAATGGAAATTGTGAAGCAGCTACCCTTGGTGGTATTATTAATCTGTCTCTCTGAGGATCAATGGTACACAATCTCATGATATAATTCCCCTATGGTTTTTAAAATGTCATTTTAAATTTCAGGCAGTGAACAAGTGAGCCAGTACAGGATGAATTGGAAGCATTAACAATGTCAGATTTTACTTATGGAATTCTGAAAGGGACCCTTTTCAGAAAACATATTATAAAGGAGTTTTCTGGACAGAGAAAAATGCAATTCTTACCTCCCACCAACAAGTAGCTGTTGGGAAACAGTGTTTTTGCTTGCATAAGTGCCCTTGCGTGACCTGAGTGAAAGAGGTCAAATATTCCATCTGCATATACTCTGACAGGCCTGTCAACTGTGAAAGAAAGAAAACAGTGTTAACAGAACTGCAAGAATAAGGTATTCCAGTTACCTTCCATTAGAATAGTGCCATAAGAAAGTTTACCTAGATAAGATGCAATCTCTCTGAACCATCAATTTCATATTGGTGCATGAAATTGACTTTAAATACAGGTTCTTCTAAAGACATCAAAACAAAACAAAAACAAAATTAAGATCAAACGAGAACACACATTGTTAGCCAACAGGAAAGACGAACACAGAGCACTGGGGAGTTCTCTTGACTCTGAGTGAAATCTAGATGTCTGAGCCGGCATAGTCGGCCTGGCAGGAACATCAAGACATGAGTAACTGAGGAGCTCAATGGAAAGGACAAATGACTATGTCCTTGAGTCTGGCAGTCTTGAATGAAGACTGCAAATCCTGTTTCAAAGGCAAAGCTGTGCTGGAGTCTGTTCATACTGCTCAAACACTTTTCTTCCCAACTTCAAGTCTCATTGGTAATCTGAAGTGAGCCATGGTAAGGGTGTTTTCATTGAAGAAGTTGGCAAATGCTATAAATCAGGGCTTATTTCCATCTGGAGGGCCAGTTGTTAAACATTTTCAATAATATAATTGCACAAAGTCACTCTCTAACCTCTTTCATATCATAGGAGATGGGGTCCCATGCCCCCAAAGGGAGGAGAGTCAGAAATAACCGTTGCATATAAGGATGGTGTTTGGAGGTAAGCAATCAATACTATAGTCCTTCATGGTCCCACAGGATACTTGCTGCACCAGGCCAAAGACCTATTCCCTTCAAGTCAAAAGGGAGGGTTAGGGGGATAGGGTTCTATTAGTTTGGTGGATGAAGCAAGTCACACAATGGAAGGAAAGCGGGTATCACTCTATTATACCCCTATCCTGCTAGTCTGAAAGAAGCCTGATACATTTGTCGAAAGTTTTATTTGTTTGCCAACTTTTACACCCTTCTCTACTCTCAACAAAGGAATTGGACAATGAAAATCCAAGAAGATCCAAAAATAGATAACAGGAGAAAGAAGTAGTTTTTCATAACTAACTACTCTTGTCCCAAGCACATCTGTTACCTCTTCTCCATGGTTACATATGCCATAGGGACATTTTATTCTCTACGAAGGAAAGAGATCTATGTGGTCACAACATTGCTTTTCCCCCACCCTACTGCTCCATACTGGAGGTGCAATCCAGGGCCTTGCACACACAAGACAAGTGCTCTATCACTGAGCTACCCCCAGTCCCACAATGGATTTTTTTTAATTTTAAAAAATATTTATTTTTTAGTTATAGTTGGACACAACACCTTTATTTTATTTATTTTTATGTGGTGCAGAGGATCGAACCCCGGACCTCGCATGTGCTAGGCACACACTCTACCACTGAGCCATAACCCCAGCCCCCCCCAATGGATTTTTTTTAGATGTTGATGGACCTTTATTAGATTCATTTATTTATATGTGGTACTGAGAATTGAACCCCGGGCCTCACACATGCTAGACAAGTGCTCTTACCAATGAGCCACAACTCCAGCCACCACAATGGATTTTTAAAAAGAGGAATATGAGAAGCCAGGTGCAGTGACATGCACCTGTAGTCCCAGCTACTTGAGAGGCTGAGGCAAGAGGATCACTTGAACCCAGGAGTTTGGGGCCAGCCTGTGCAACATAGCAAGACCCCATCTCACAAAAAAAAGAAAAAGAGGAACATGAGAACTTATTTCTCCTAACATTAACATTGTACCTATTAACCAACCTCTCACCCTTCTTCTACTTCCTACCCCCCCCCAAGTCTCTGGTTATCACTATTCTACTCACTGAATAATTTGATTTGATTATTACCCAATGTATACATGAATCAAAATATCACATTGTACTTCATAAGTATATATACAATTATGCTTAATAAAAAGATATAGAAAAATAGAATATGAGGACTATCAATTAAATATGCTGAACAGAACACACACATTTATCTCTACCTCCTTCTCAAACACCAAAACAAGTATAAAAAAGAGTTTAAAAGGTATCATTTTGCAGAGTTCGGTGGCACATGCCTGTCTACCGGCAACTCAGGAGGTTGAGGCAGGAGGATCACAAGTTTGAGGCCAGTCTCAGCAACTTAGTGATACCCTCAGCAACTTATTAAGACCCAGTCTTAAAATAAAAAAGGCTAGGAATGTAGCTCAGTGGAGGTGTGCTTGTCTAGCATGTGTGAGGCCCTCAGCTCCATCCCCAGTTTGGGCGGGGAGAAGGCATAATTTTCGCCAAGGTTAGAGAAAACAAGGAAGACTAGTGACAGTGAATGAGAGATGTCAAAAACATTTTGTAAAGTCAGTTGTCAAGTGTTGAGTGCCTACAGGAAATAAGAATTAGGGGTGAGGTAGGAGGAGAAAGGTATTGCTGATTTTCTTTATAAACCTAAGAGTCTGACTGACTTTTTAAAATACATACATGTATTATGTTATAAATGAATTTTTATTATAATTAACACAATAATTGTACAAATTAATGGGATTCACTGTGATATTTCCATACATGCATACATTGTGCATTGATCATATCCATTCACCCTTTTACTTTCACCCTTTCCTTCCTCCCTACCCCCTTTCCAGCCCCTAGTATTCCTCTTCTACTTTCAGATTGTCTTTTTGTTTGCTTGTTTGTGAGGAAGCTTGTACTACTTGTATTTCTGTGAATGCTTTAAAAAGAAAGAAATCAATGGAAACTTCTATTGAATGATCTTTAGAACTTAGATTTCAAATAGTGATTATTTCTTGATGCAATTCCACCTCATTAATTTGGAAACAAATAAATGTTACATTAATAGATTCAGATGGTATAATGTTTCTAATAAATTTCTCTAATAGAATATCTAGAGACTTTATGTCAGATTAGGAACTGCAACTATTTTCAATTATATACTATTTTGAACAAACAGAATTGCCTTCACAGGATTATACTGTATTCTAAATAAGGCACAGTAAACAAAAAATGCTTTGAAATAACAAACTGTCTAATGAGGGATCCTTGGTTTCAATGCTCTTATTCAATTTTATTTCAATTGAGGAAAATTTGTTTTAAGATATAAACCCCATGGAAAAGCAGATGGCAGTTTTGTAGAACTTTTTGTTAATGATTCAGAGGTGATCAGGATAAATGAATTCAGGAAGCAAGGAAGAAAGAAAAGAAAGATGACATAATTACTGGGAAGAAGGACATTTAGTAAATTTGAGAGTATTTGCAGAGTTGATTTTGCAGTAAGCTCACTTTTAAAAATTGTAATGTGTCAGCAATTTCTAGACTGTGAGAAGCTCTACAAGACCAAAAACAACAACAAAAGAACCTGGTGTCTTTGTTTCTTCAAAAATTAAACTTCAAGGCTTAAAAAGCAGAGGGGGAGGGGAGAGAAGGAAGGAGGACCTGCAGATTGAAAGAAATTTAAAAGATATATTAATATCAGCTTATTGTAATGTATGGACATTACTCTTGTTCACACACCATCCATCCTTCAGTTCAAAGCCTGAGCATGTTTTCACTGAGCTCCATGGTCATTGGCTGAGGGCCATGCCTCACAGTGCAGCCCCTTGTGATGGACAAAGCAGAGATTTGAGGTGAAAGGGACTCAAATTGGAATCCCAATTCTACCCAGTCAGGACATTTGACAACTTACTTTTCAGTTCTTCAATTCTCATTAGCCTCTTTTGTAGAAAGGACATAGTCATAAACATCTCACATGGTTTTTGTAAAGATTAAATGAGATACAGTATAGCAGATGTATAGTAAGTTCTGCTTCCTTTTCTTTTTCCCCAGAAAAGTAAGGTCCTTTTCTGCTTGGACCTGAAGCTCATTTTTTAACTTGAGGTCAAATCTGTTTTCTTCAAAACCACCTTGTTATGGTTTGGATCTTAAATGTCTCCCACAATCTCATATGTTGAAGACTTGGTCCCCAGCTAATGGCACTATTGGGAGGTGGTGGAAACTTTAAGAGGTGGGGCCCAGTTGGAGGAAGTTAGGTCATTAGGGGCGTGCCCTTGAAGGATATATTGGGACCTCAGCCCTTTCCTCTCACTTTTTCTTGTTTCCTGTCCATGATGATGTGAGCAACTTTGCTTCACCACATGATCCCCATCACAATGTTCAGCCTTGTCATAGGCCTGAAGCAACAGGGCCAAGTGACCATGCAATGAAACCTCAGAAACTGTGAGTCAAAATAAAACTTTCCTCCTGTAAGTTGTTTAACTCAGTTGTTTTATGACAGTCACAGAAAGCTAATACACACCTGGACTTTCATTTGGCATACCTTGGATTTATTGCTGGGTCAGTATTTCTCAATGTATTGTTTCTAGATCACCAACTTAAGAATTATCTGAGCTGTTAAAAATGTAGATGTCCAGGCTCCCTTCCTGATTTGAGGTTTTAGTGTGGGTAGGGAGCACAACAGGGATTCTGCTTCTCTAACAAGCTAACCAGGTGATTCTTGACACATTAAAGTCTGCTCTGTGTTACCTCCCTAAGCCTCTGGTTGCCCTTCTCAAAAGAAGCTCATGAAAAAGCTTACTCTGATCACCCTCTTCCTCACCTCACTCTTTTGAAGGCTATTCTTAAAGAAGAAGCAGAGTGTCATGGTTAAGAGGTCAAGCTCTAACACAAATAGGTTTGAGATCAAATCTCAACTTTACCTCTTAGAAATGGTTCTGCAGGTGTGCTCTGCAGAGTGGCAGTATCCCCAGGAACTTTTAAAGCAGCAACTCTTGAGACCCACCCCAGCCATCTGTGGTTCTTTCTTTTTTTTTTTTTTTTTTTTCTTTTTTGGTACCAGGGATTGAACTCAGGTGTGCTTACCACTGAGCAACACCCCCAGCTCTTTTTATTTTTGAGACAGGATCTCACTAAGTTGCTGAGGGCCTTGCTAAGTCGCTGAGGGCATTGCTAAGTTGCTGAAGATGACTTTGAACTTGAAATCCTCCTGCCTCAGGCTTCAGAGCCTCTGATATTATAGGCATGCACCACTGGGCCTGGCAGCCGTCTGTGTTTTTAACAAGCACTCCAGGTGATTCTGTTGCAGGCTCAAGTGTGAGAATCACTGCCACCTAAACTTATGCAGGTTCACGACTTCTCTAAGCCTTCATTTCCTCATCTGTGAAATACTAAAAGTACTAGCTGTGTAGAACTATGATAGTTAAACTGGGCATGGTGGCACATGCCTGCAATCCCAGTGGCTCAGGAGGCTGAGGCAGGAAGATCACAAATTCAAAGCCAGCCTCAGCAGAAGCGAGGCACTAAGCAACTCAGTGAGACCCTGTCTCTAAATAAAATACACAAAAGGACTGGGGACATGGCTCAGTGGTTGAGTGCCCCTGGGTTCAATCCCCAGTACTCTCCTGAAATAAAGAAGTATGATAGTTAAATTGCATGATACATAAAAGACCTCAATGCATAGTAAGCATTTAATAAATATCCATTCTTATTGTTAAGCAAATGGTCCTTTGTCCCATGGATTCTTCTAAGTTTAGGTTGGTTGTTTTTGGCAAAGGAAGTAAAAACCATTGAGTTGTGTCATCATAACTGGCTCAAAACTTATTTGCTCAACTAGTCTTATTTTTTACTCCATCTCAACCAACTTGAATTATACTCATTTATTCTCACACACCTCTCTATCTCTGTGCCTTCATTGTTTCTCTTATATCCTTCTGAGAACACATTTTCCATTTCTGCCCACACAGTTCAAACCTTATTTTTCACAAAAGTATCAGCTCCATGTTGTTCCCTCCCTGACATCTTGCCTGACCACTCCAGGCCAAATGAATTTGCCCTTTTCTAAACTGTCAGTCATCATCTGTGTTGTAGGACTTAGTCCCTAAGCACATTGCAAGCATGCTACTTGTGGCTTTTATTTCATCTCTAATTGTCTTGTCTCTTTAATTATCATGAAAACCCTTGGGAAACAAATTATATTTATATTCTTTTTTAATCCCTTCACTATCCATTCTCTGGTACAGCCTTAAAAAATAATGAATGAATGAATAAACTTTTATAGCAGAGCCCAGTATTTTTAAGGCATGCTAAAAAGGTTTGTTTTTTTTTTTAAATGCAGACTTTTAAGAATAGTAATAATTATATAGTAGTTTGGGTTCATAAAAGCCTTCATGGTTTAAAAAATGCTTTGGGCCAGGTTTGGTCTTATATTCCCGGTGACTCGGGAGCCTGGAGTAGGAGGATTGCAAGTTGGAGGCCAGCCTCAGCAACTTAGCGAGACCCTGTCTCAAAATAAAAATAAATAAATAAATAAAAGGGGCTAAAGATGCAGCTCAGTGGTACAGCATGCATGGGTTCAATCCCCAGCACTGGAAAAAAATGCTTTGGTATTTTTAACTGAATTTAGCTATCACAAAACCTTTGCAGACCAGGTATTATTGTCCCCATTTTGCACATGAGGAAACAGACTCATATCTCTCTCATGACTTGCCCATGGCTGTTGAACTATTAAATGAAAGATTTGGGGCTTAAATTCCTGCATTAGGCTGCATCTTTTACGTGGATACTTTGGTTGGTGTAGGTTACCACTGCTAACATTCACCCTTCTTGCATTGTGCTATAATCTCTAAATTCAACTCTAATTGAAAGCAAGCAATGCTCAAATAATGATGGGGCTTTATAAATACTTTAAATATCAAGACAGAGCCCATTTGGGGAAAAAGAAGAACAGCCTCACCTGGTGTTCCTAAGCGGGCCTGAGCAATGGTCAGTTTTTCATGGGGTGCTTGGCACTGGCAGCTCGTTTCATCTGCAAATGGGGCAGGTGCAGTCAGGGTCTAAAAGGGAAAAAAGAAAACAAAGGGAATACAGTCTCACAAGTTTTCCTTCAGCACCATCTTCCCTGAAGTTTTATTCTTGTTGACTACACAGGTATGAATACGAAGTAAAATATATCTGCTAAGCCTCTCAGAGAAATATTGTACTGCTAGAAATAAAGATGGTATTGTCATGATGCCCCCCGCCTTTTTTTTTTTTTTTTTTTTTACTGGTGCTTCAGAAATAATAGCTTTTCAGTGTCTACCATCTGCCAGGTACCAGATGAGCTACTCTGGATCTGTCACGCCTCTTAGGCTTCACAACACCCTACGATGGATGCACACTTCTATAGTGCAAGATAATACTATGCCTATTTCACAGAAAAGGCAACTGAGGCTCAGCAGGGTTAATAAAGATGCTAAGTCATGCCCCTGGAAAGGCCTAATGCCCAGCTTTGACCATCTCCCAAGCAATGAGGGCAGTCTTCAAACATTTAGACTCACCCACACCCGGGGTACTCGGCTGAAAGGAGCATCATACTCGGAAGCGTGGCAAGACATCTCCTCTATTTCACACGCCAGCCTGGCCAATCATAAACTCTGACGTCTCTTCAGTGCAAAGACCAAGGCCGTTATCTGTGCTCTGGGAGGGCCTAAAAGCACAGCAATTCTGGCGGGCTGCAGATAACTGTTACTGTGGTAGCTTCGCCAGCCACCAATGGCTGGAGGCCCCGCCCCAGGCAGCTTAGGCTGGAGCTCTGGGGAACGCTGTGAGAAAGATGTAGTCACTTGGAAGCCTGCCCAGGAAGTGGCCCTGCATTTTTTAGTCAGCCTCTTAAAATGAAAATCTCACTCTCTCCAGACAGGGGAAGACAAAGCGGGCGGTGTTTTTGTAAACAGGGTAGAGGCAATCCAGAGTTGTCCTTTTGTAGTGTTTGAACTATGTCATTATCACAGTCACCACTACATCATCTTTGGTAATTTTTAAGCTAAAGTTGACTAGTCACTGTAAACATTAGTCAGTGCTGCATGAATAGTTTCTTAGAGATGGAGACAGGTGTTCTTTGACTTGGGAAGATTCAACTGAAGAAGGACCCATACATTTTTAAAAAAAAAAAAAAAAATAATGTTGCACGATAATTATAACTAAAAATAGTGGGAATTCATTTTGACATATTCAAACATGCACATAACATAAATTGATCAATTTCATTCCCCATTTCCTCCTCTTTCCCTCCCCTCCTTACTCCACCTGATTCCCTTCCTCTATCTTACTGGTCTCCCTTCTGTTTACCCAAGATCCCATTTTTCCTCTTTTCTCATAGTTTCCACATATGAGAGGAAGATCCATACACTTGACAAGGAGCTGTAATCCACTTCTGCCATTCATTTATTCAATCAATCATTCATTCAAATACACATCAGGCACTGTCTTAGAATCTGAGGCTAGAAGTGGAGATAAGACCAGAACCTGCCCTTAAGAAGCCACTATTCTCTGCATTGACCAGAATGGATCCATGTCCTGGGCCCATTCCCTTCCACTATTGCAGTCACTTCCACCCTAAAAATGGGAGTCCTGCCCCAGATTGTTGGGAGACCTCCCAGTTGCCTGAGACTTTCTTAACCCACACCCTCTTCTTCAGGGCTCTGAAGGCAAACCAAAACTTGGGACAAAGATTCAGAAAACTTGAATCCACTATTGGTTCTTTTTCAGATATATTAAGGTGACCTTGTGGATTGGAGCTGCATTTGTAATGTGACAAAGGGGTACAGTGACAAGAGCAGGAACTCTGTGCCATAAAACCGGGGTTCAAATCCCCTTTGCAGCACTCATGGGCTATGTGTTTTAATTTGGCTTTTCTGGTTAAAAGGAACTGGCACCCACTGCCAGGCGTGGTAGTGCATGCTTGTAATCCCAGCAGCTTGGGAGGCTAAGGCAGGAGGATCACTAGTTCAGAGCCAGCCTCAGCAAAAGTGAGGCACTAAGCAACTCAGTAAGACCCTGTTTCTAAATAAAATACAAAAAATAGGGCTGGGGATGTGGCTCAGTGGCCAAGTACACCTGAGTTCAATTCCCAGTATCTCCCTCCCCACAAGAAAAGGAACTAGCACCCACTAAAGTTAGATCAAGGGATGAAGGATTTATTTTAAGGTTGCTCTGGTGCAGAAACTATGGAAAAGGAAGAAAGGGGCAGAGTGTGGCCCCAGAGTGCCAAGTGTTCTGTACCAACCTGGTTGTTCCCTGAACATGTTTCTTCCTACTCCATTTCCATTCACCCTATATGCTTCCACCACACCAAAGTGTTTGCCTGCCTTCTATTCCCCATAACTTTAGCTTAATGATGGCTTATCATGGCTTCTCAGTCTCCCTTCACAACACTCATTTATCAACTTCTGATTGTGCCTTTCAGCCTCAGCTCCTGTTACCAACTAACTGCTTCTTTCCATGTTTCCTGATTCAAATTCCTAAGGCAGGTTTGTGGGTAGAGCTCATTTGCCTAGCACGTGAAAGGCCCTGGATTCCATTCATAGCGCGCGCGCACACACACACACCACAAAGATCCTGAGGCAGTTCCTGAGTGGCCAAGCTCATCTTTTCACATCAGGCCATAACCAGGATGAGCTGCAATTGGGTCAGGTAGCTATCCTGCAGACCAACAGCTGTGGCAAGGAAAGTCATAAGTGGCCTATTGTCACTTTAGCAGAAGCTTTAGATGGGACAAGACAAATATTTGACTTTGTGTGCTCTTAAAAGCAAGTTCCAGGCTGGTGATGTGGCTCAAGCGGTAGGGCGCTCGCCTGGCATTCGTGCGGCCCAGGTTCGATCCTCAGCACCACCTACGAACAAAGATGTTGTGTCCGCCGAAAACTAAAAAAAAAAAAAAATATTAAAATTCTCTCTCTCTCTCTCTCTCTCTCTCTCTCTCTCTCTCTCTCTCTCTCTCTCTCTCTCTCATATTAAATAAAGCAAGTTCCTTAGATTATTGGAACCTCAGCTTCATTTGTAAAATGGGTAACTATCTTCTAGGGTTATTGTGAAAAACAGATAATGTGTAACATACTTGATACTCAGGAAATTGTAGCTATTATTATTGCTATCATTACTCGTTCTTATATGTAATACTACATATTTTGATATAATAAAAGAGTGTAGTTATCCATAGAAATAAGCAAATTGACTTATGAATGGACTTTTAGGACATGACCTAAACAGGCAAATCAGTTGGCAAATGAAACTAGCTTACATTAAAGATGCATTACCCTTTATTATACATGGACAGTGAATCTTCTTCACATGATCTAAAATAAATTACTATTTGGAGATCTTTTACACTCTAGTCACAAAGTCTATTAAGGAGATGAGGTGTTGCCATTTTCCAAGAAAGGTGTAATCTAGAGGGTGTGAAATCTGATAATTAAAGCAGAGATAGATAAATTTGTAAAGCAACAATAGTTACTCAAAGGTAAGGAAACGTTTTTTGTACACCATGCATTTTGGTCTTAATTATTGTGCCCTAGCAGTAGGAAAAAGGGGGAATTGAACTGAATAAACACTCAGGATTTTTAGAAAATTAGAATGGAGAGACCTCAAAAAGGAGATACTAAAATTCCTGATAATTTGAGAAGGGGAACCCAAACAATTAATAAAGAAATAAAAGCACTTCAGCATATTTGTGCCTAGGCTTAGTGAAGCAGGTCAGGCGACTCACTGGATTCTTTGTCATTGATCATGTAGAATCTCACCAGCAAGCCTCAGCTTAGACTCTAAGTTACTCAGATCATGTTTAATTTATGCTAGCTAGATCTTTTTGAGGATAGCTAAATGGAGGGAAAAATAAGAAAAAAAGAAACAGAATTGTTTCTGGGACAGTGATCTTCCAAAGTGAACGGTAGCCCCTTTAGAATGGGAGGAGGTATTAGTTTGAAAAGACATGTTCAATTTTCAATAATTTCATTTTGGAATAAAAGCCCTACTCTTCTCAACATGTGAATCATAGACACTAAGCCTTTGAACTACTGGGGATCATCAGAGGATAGATGATTCCCCCCTAGAGAGCCATATCCTAAATTAAAATTTGGGAAGGCACATGAAATTATTGCTAAGCAGAGGAGAGTGAGGATTTTAAGAAGCCTTGGCCCAGCAACCTGGACCTCACATGTACAAAGATCTTGCAAGACCACAAACTTGGACACAGCCCATAATAAAACTTTTTTCTACATTTTGCTCATTCATCATGCAAGTTCTGCTTTTGTAAATTGCACTATAGTGCTATACCAAAGCCCTATTCCCTGCAGGTTTTTTAAAAGGAAGGACATTATATGTTGGACATTTCATTTGTAGAGTCTCTTTAATTGGACATTGACAAATATTTCCTTAAAAGCTATGAAGTACTATATAAAATATACAATGCAAATATTACTTGAGTGCAAAAAATGGCTGGTAGAATCTGTACTTATGAAATGTGCATTATTGACTGAAGATAATTGGACTGATAAATTTTAGAACCAGAAATTGAGAGTTAAAAGAAAGACATTACAAAATCTCAACCCTCAATCTCATACTAGAGTTTGTTATTTACTCATCTCTGAACATAATTGCTAAGCCTGATATTACTTGGGATCAGAATGTTTTAATCTTTTTAGAAATAGAGAGGGAAGAAAAATAGATCTCACAGTTTCCCATAGGTCTGACACACATGAGTCACTGGATTATTTGTCATTGATTATGTAGAATCCCACACCAGACAGCTGGAACAAAGTGCTCACCAACACACTTCAATGGAGTGAAGGAAAAAAAGGCCCAGAACATGGCTCAACACCATGAATTTAACATTTTTCGTTTTGTTAAGTATGGTATGCACATGTAATTAGGTAATAGGCATCATTAAAATAGTAAGATAAGGCTGGGGTGTAGCTCAGTAGTAGAGCACTTGCCTAGCATATAGTGGCCCTGGGTTCAATCCCGAGCACCTCAAAAAGGAAAAAATGGTAAGACAGGTGTATGTGTGTGTGTGTATGTGTGTGTGTGTGTGTGTGTAAAATATGATTTCATTGAATGCAAAAGCAGCTCACAAAACAATATGTATATTATATATACATGTTATATAGTATGATACCATTTATGATAAAAGAGGGAGAATTGGGCAATGGTGACTCATGCCTATAATCCCAGATTCTTGGGAAGCTGAGGCAGGAGGATGGCAAGTTCAGGCCAGCCTGAACAATTTAGAGAGACCCTTTCTCAAAATAAGAATTTAAAAAATGTCTGGACATGGAGTTCAGTGGCAGAGCACTTGCCTAATATGCTTGAGGCCTTAAATTTGGTTTCTAGTACCACACTTCCTCTAGATATACTGTTTTTAAATGCCAGTATATCTAGAGGAAGTGAGCAAAAGGAAAATGTAGTAGGAGATATAGCCGAGATAAGGCATGGAGGAAGTTAGTAAGGGGCTTTTAGGACACTACAAGGACTGGTTTTCACTCCAGTGAGATGGGAACCATTAGAAAGTTTTGAAGAAGTTATGATCTGATCTGACATGATCTGATCCAGCTTTAACAGGACCACTTGTCTGATATGTTGAGACTAAACAGTAAGAGGGCAAAGGTAGTAACAAGAAAACCATTGAGGTGTCTCAGGCAAAAGAAGACAGAGGCTGGAGTGATAGTTGTGGTCAGATTTGGGTCTGGGTGTATAGTTTGGTGGTAGAGTGCTTGCCTAGCATACACAATACTGTAGTTTCCATCTCCAACACACACACACACACACAAAGTGGTCAGACTCTGGATAGATTTGGTATAAATAAAGTTTGGAAGAGATTGATGGAGAGCGTGAAAGAATGAGAAGAGTCAAAATAATTCCAAAGTAGATGGCCTAAAGAATTACTAACTTCCTCCATGCCTTATCTCGGCTATATCTCCTACTACATTTTCCTTTTGCTCACTTCCTCTAGACATACTGGCGTTTTAAAACAGTATTTTGTGGTACTAGAAACCAAATTTAGGGCCTCAAGCATATTAGGCAAGTGCTCTGCCACTGAACTCCATGTCC